TTCCGCATCGAGGGTCACTTTGCCATCGACTTTTGGGTCACTTCCGCCTCGAGGGTCACTTACGCATCGACACTTGGATCACTTACGCATCGATGGCCATAACATCACATCTTATACATCCGTGCGCAACCGATCTAATGATGCATTTTTTCTGTGATCTAAGGCTTGCCATCGATGAGAGGTCTGATAAGTTGAGAGTCGTGTGTGTGGGGGGGCGGGGGTGGCGGGGTGGGATAATGGAATCATTGGCCCATGGCCACATCATCACATCCTACATCCATGCGCAACCGACACTCACAAGTTCAGAATGGCCATTTCTCTGTGATCTAAGGATGGCCATTTCTCTGTGATCTAAGGCTTGCCATCGATGGCAGGTCTGATAAGTTGAGTCGTGTGTGTCGGAAGGAAAAAAACATGCCTTCATAGTCCCGAGCGTTCGTCTTGCAGCATGATCGTGACCTTTGTAGAGGCATCCCATGGATCTCCACCCATCCACTCTCCACATCATAGTGTGCAGAGCCACGCCAAGGGCACTTCACGCAGGTGATGCAGGAAATCCTCTCCCTCCAACGGAGAGAAGAATACGTCATCTGTGCCTGAAAAGCGATTTCAATAATCTGGTCGTCAACCAGCCCTCGCACATTGCACCGACATTGCTCGCGGAACTGAGGGCGAGTCATGCCCTGCCGGAAGCTGACGCGGTAAGTCTTGAACACTTCCGGCTGCACAGCAGCTGCTGGCTTGGGCTGTGCAGCGGGCCGGGCCGCTTCATAGCTCATGCAAGACATGTGGGCGGTGTTCAAAAAGATGTGATCTTTCTTTACGACAATTCCAGTCTTAAGGTAGGTCTTCCGCAATGCTTACGTTTTCCTATGTTTTCCTATGTGCAAGGTTATCCTTACGTTGTGTTTACGGCCAAGGATACATGTCCCTGCTGCAATATTTTGGCCCAGATGGATTGAAAGCAAGCAACTTCAACTTGCGGCAGCCCTACGGTAACTTGCTCTGCTGCAGATCCTTACGGCAAACCTTACTAACCTTACAAATATCAGCTAAAATCACTGCTTTTGTTGATTTTTCACCGGTCCCGTACTCAAAATGAAGAGGGGAAGTTAAAACGCTGCTCATGTCTAGCCCAGCTAGAGATACTTTGTGTAGAGATGACATAAGAGTTGAGGCTCACAGTGACATCGTGAATGGCTAGGTTAAGTCCTTAAGCCCGACGCACAAGCGACCCACAAGCGACCCCAAAACCCGACGCACAAGCGACGCCCTCTTTTGGAGGCTAGCTAATAGACAGTCTCAAAGTAGTTCGATGGGGAGGGAATGGCTGATGACGCAGCTTCACGCCAAGCGCCAGGAAAAACCGGCTCTTTAGCGGAAAGACCGTAAAGACATGTAAAAATCGCAAACGGTTCCTACCTACCATCGAATGGGTATTGAATGGAGATGCCAAATAGCGTAGGGTAGTCCAGCCAGGACACCCCATTGGATGGTGACCATCCAATGATACAATAGGTGTCCTGTCTAGATCCCGGATAGTAGTGTGGGGTAGTCCAGGACACCCAGACAGGCCTCATACACTTCTCTAAAGAGACCCACCAATCCAGCCCGGTAACATGCTGATTCATGGACGTTCAATAACCCGCATGCCGCAGGAAGAAATGCAACACCTGCCAAAACTTCGGTGTCGAAGCTGAATCTGCACGGGAAGCGGGAGTTTAGGACGGTGACTTGGACGATCTCTCAGCTCGGAAGCTCCGAAAATGTTGTCTAGAACTGGCACTGGAACCGGCTCCGGTACCTGCTCCGCAACCTGCTCCAGCTCCGGAACCTGCTCTGGAACTTGCTCCGGAACCTGCTCTGGAACTTGCTCCGAAGTCTTTGCTGTGGCCTATGGCTGAAGATTCTGGAGTTTCGCTGTCGCGGAAAAAATACCAAGCAGCCCAATGACATTCCCTGGAATTATCATGGAAGTGGATGGCATGGCCCCTTGAATGACCATTTTCCTCTGCAAACATTGGATTCCACTTCGCATGATGATTCCAGGGAGTGTTTTCGTTTGCTTTGTTATGTTTTGCGAAGCCTCCAATTCCAAATCCCCACTCCAGTGACCCTTCGAGCAATCGAACCGCTCCGCGCTCCGGTCGTCTTCTTGCCTTGGAGGCCAAGACCCCCGAGGCCCAATGCACGTGCTCAAGCATGCCCTGCGCGTGTGCATGCGTGGGAGGCGCATTCAGAGGTGGGGATGCGGACATTGAGACTTCACCGGAGAGGAAAAAACAAAAGATAGACATCACCACCAGGCGGAGGAGTAGGCTAGGTGGAGGAGTGGGACCAATTACCCGCTGAAGACGATCCCATGGACCCTGAAAACCACTGGTTTAAGAGGAAAACTGTCGGACTCAGGGCCAGGGTGCCATTGTCGTTGATTTCCTGGCAACTCCTCGGTATACTCTGAGGTGTTGAAGCCAACACTGCGGCGTCGACCAAAGGCAGTCTGCGAGCAGTGAATGTTTTCACTGACGTGATTGTGGGATCTGTAACTGAGCTCAATGTCACAGACTGCCTTTGATTGTGGGAGACCAGCTCCATCACCATAGAAGCTGAAGAATCATCCAGCACCAACGTCATCCCCAAACGCCACCGGTTTCTTGTGACCAGATCTTCACCGTGGAGATAAACGAGTGGCCGAACCACAGAATGCGAAGAGAAAGCTGTAGAGAACAGAAGAAGGAAGAAGAATAACGAAGAAGGAGAGAAGAAGAAGAAGAAGCAGAAGAAGAAGAAGAAGAAGACCCTTCTCGCTCACCTCTGGCATTGGGTCTCGATACCTTGGTACCCTAGTTCACCAAAATGAGCCGTCTGCGGAGACAAACCATGTCTCTGGTATTTTTGTTCTGACTTCGGCGTCAGTCCTAGTCTTCACTCCCCAATCAAGCAAGTGGCCATAGCAAAAAACGTGGAGCCTCTTGACAGTCATGGTGGTTCTTTTTCTGAAGGCCCAGTCGAAAATCGCATATCATGGCACATCCGACTCATGTCTTGCCAATGTCATCGAAGCAGGGCTGCTTGTTCTATCGAATCCACTCCGGGTTCAGTTATAAATGTACTGTAAGAAGCCTCACAGCATCCTTCTCCACACCTGCCACACCTGCCACACCTGCCACCTGTTGGTCTCGCCCGCCTCTGCCCTTGCATAGGGTGCCATCCGCTCCTTCAGCTGCGCTTCCCGCCCACTGACGCCGCGCAGCACTCGCTCCGGCAGCTCCTCGCAGAGCAGCCGCTGGAACCTTCACAGGGACAAACGTCGCACGCTGGACCTGGAAGATTCAAGAGATTTATATAACTAGTCCGTCAGATCATCTGTGCCCAGTGCTGCTGGATTTCTGGAAAACTCTCCAGTGTGTTGAAGCATGTGTACTTCTCTGGCGACCAAGAAAAAGAGTCTTGTAACACTTTGGTAACAAGTTCTAATACTAGCAGAGCACTACCTTTGGGGATTTGGTTTATACCGGGTTTCACACCGTTGACCATTCCACCAAATCCTCATTGCTGAGTGTGCTTTCCAACCGATCCTCTCAAAACGCATATCAAAGTCAGGCTTTGCAGTGCAGTGAAACCACATCGTGTCTTTTCGACGGTCGCCGTCAGGTCCTTCGTCTCCACGTCTTCGGTCGTCTTCGACCCCAAACTTCTTGGGACCGAACGACCAACCGAAGGAGTTTAATGTGAACGTTCCCGGCCTTCACAACCGAACGAGTTCAACGTTCCCGGGTTCTGATGACCAGTTCGGTCAGTCACGAGTCCCTCCGAAGCTCCGGTCGCGCCCGGTTCCCCTCTTCTTGTCTACACCCGGGGAACCCCAGACCCACCATGGAAACTCCAAAAACCACGGGGGCTGGTATTCGGAGAATTGTTTTCCAGTCTGGTCCATGTTCAGGTTCCATGTGGGTCTCTTCCCTGCAACGACCCGTCCTTGATAAAGACTCGATGTCTTTCGGCACATGACACGCGATGTGGAACCCAAAACTCATGGACCATCCGCGATGCGAACAAAGGATGCTCCGGAAAAAAATATGCAGAAAAAAAGAATGCTGGACGCACCTACATTTGATATCTTCCATCCCACGAATCGGCGAAGGATCCAAGTTCAAACGGGTGGCACGACTATAGCCTTCTTGGGCACGACAAAATCAAGCAAGCAGACCAAAGATTCTTCCCAAAAAGAAATGCATCCTTGTAATGAGTGGCTCTTTTGTGTTTAGTTTCCTTTTGTGGGGGGGAGTTCTAGGAGCTACAGGCTAATTACTTGTTTTACTTTTTGTAGTAGGGCTCCAAGCACATCCTCTGTAGTTCAACGCCCCAAACCCACCACCCAAACCACCTGAGGATGTGGTTTTTGCCCCAGGGTTTGGACACCAACACGGCTTTTTGAAAGTGCGATGTTGTTCCCTCCGCAACCAGCATGAGGACCGGTGTTTTAGCACTCCAAGCTGCGGCTGGAAAGGCGGCAGGGAGGGCAGGTGTGGCATGCGTCGCAAGATTTTCACTGCTGAGATCTTCCTGAGAAAGCTGAGGGTCGAGTGCAAGGTTGTAAAGACAGAGAAAATTCTCCAGCAGAAGGGGCCCCTGTCGAGACTCTAGGTGGTTCACATGAATTTATATATCACGTTTACATCGTTTTACCAAGAATAGTGATGGGGATTTGAGCCAGGAGTTATGCGGGGTCTAGAATGTAAAAAAATCTCAGGAACATGAAACAAACGACTCTCAACTCTTTTTGGGTTGCTTCGTTTATGAAGAAGGTGTCGAAATTCTTGCGCTGGTGCTTTCCATGTTGTTGCCGGTTCAGCCTGTATTTCTCGGGGCTTTGTTGATGTGCCCCTTCACCCCTGTGGTGGCAGGTTCCCTTTGACTGACTGGTGCTTAGAAAACTAAGGGGAATGACCCCCCGGACTAAAATTAGATACCTTAGGATCCAGCCACCCTCATTCCTTGCGACCTGCCGCACCAGTCAGATTGGGTCTCCCCGGCCGACCCGCTGGCCGACGCTCTGCCAAGCTGCACGTCGCGCTGGCCGTGGAGCTGCGCCACGCACTGCCGCGTTCGGGTCTCCCACACTCGGACGCGTTCCTGGGGGGGGGCCGCCCTCCGCCACGGAAGGGTCAGGCGTAAAAGCGGCGAACCCGGTCGCTCAGAGCCAGATGACGGTGACCCGTGCTATGTACGGACCCGGAAAATTTGGGTGCCCAACTAGGATAGTCGAACTAGGGTTTCTGAAACACCTCGGAAAGAGTGGGGATTGGCCCTTTTTGGGGGGAGGGGACCGGAAGGGAGAATGTTTTCTAGCTTCACTTCCCCAAGGGTTTTTCCATGGCTTTTTGGGTGCGATGTTCCCGACCTGTTGCAGTCTTCAACCATTCCTTTCTTTAGGGAGGCGCCCGGATCCGTTGCCCGGCTCCGCCCCAACCCGAAGGCGGCCGGATCCGCTGCGAGCGGCGACCTCGCTGCAGGAGGCCAGGGACGCGCCGTCGCTGGACATGGCACAGCTCAGGACGTTGCAGCTGTGGCCCAGGTAGACACCCCCTGCCGATCCGGTCCACCCGGGGGGGGTGGCTTTGGGCGCAGCGCTTTCGCTGCGCTTCTGAAGGAGCGGTTGGATTGGGGGAGCAGGATCGAAAGAATCCGAAAAGATGGTTTTTGTGGTTTTTGGGGGGGCTGGGATGAGAGCGTTCGGATGAGCGAAAAATGCTGAAGCGGCACATGAGATGAGATGAGCTGTTGGGGCCTACCAGCTTAACTCACAGATCTCTGGCCCAACTGAACTAGCTGCCTGGCGAGCAGAGCTCGGTCACCTTTTGAACGACCTACTGTAATATGGACATGACTGTCCCACTCACTAACACGGACATAGAGGGCACCTGTTCGGTCTCACAAGGCTCTGGCGCAAGCCGGGCCATCCAGCCATCCAGGTGTGTCAGAGTTCAGGGGGGGCCCAACTTCCCAACATTCTGGGAATCTCCCAGAGACGTGAATTCCTCACGTCTCAGTTCCTCACGCCCTTGCGCCCGCCTTCCCGTCCAAAGTCCTTGGTCTCGAGGCTCCTTAACTCGCCATGATGCCCGGCCACCACCAACTCACTGGCCGCTGCGCCCGCACACAGCGCGTTCACCTGGTGGCTGACGCCGTGGGACAGGGGGAGATTGGGGGAGGTTTCTGAAAGCTCTTGGGTCTGGATGGCGTGCAAAGGTTTGCAGGGGTTGAAGAAGTACTTTTGGGGGGAGGATCTCCTCCCCTTCCTGCTACCCAAAAACAGGAAAACCAAAAACAGAGAATGCCAGAAAGGCTACTGTGACACACATGCTCAGCCAGTCTGACAAACCAGCTTATATAAGTCTGAGATCCTGATTCAAGGTCAGGTTTCTTGGAATCGTAAGCAATCACAACCCCCCTCCAAGAATCATGGAAGTGGACATTCTGGCCCCATGGAAGACGATGTTTTTTTTGCGGGGTGGCCCTCCCTTTCAGGGAGGGTAAATCCGTACCCTAGGGCCCTAGGATTCCAAGAACCATTGATTTATATATATATAATGGTCTGAATCCCAAGGAGCCATTGCTTTACTAAGGATTTTACACTACAGGTCACCAGGTCGTTCCGGGTGGTTTTGTGTCCCATCCAAGGCGAAAGTGGATGTGACGTTCGGGGCACCCCGACTTCCTCCAAGTCCAGCACCCCGTCTTGTGACTGCTAGGTACAGGATCCACTTATCCTGCCCTCTGTTCGGTACGGTGATGTGTAAACACTGTGATCTAGGTGGCCTAGCATCGGGTCCAGTCGTACCCTCGGTGTTTGGATCCGGAGGGATGTCCATGGTCTTGGAAACCATCACGTCGATGCGCTTCGCATCACTTCGCCCACTTCGACTTCGGTTTGAAGGAAGACCATCCAGTTCACCGGTTTGTTTCACCATGTTCAACCCCTACCCGGACCCACGATGGGTTGGCCTACCTGGACACCTCCAAACCAACCGATTCTTCCAAACCTCGCCCAAGTTCTCCTGCGAAGCCTCCCCGCTTACCTCCCCTTCCACCTCCCCTTGATAACACCTCCCTTTGTATAGTGCTTTGACATGTCCAACCGCCTTTCATAGATGGGGCTCCAACCAAAAAGAGAATGAACCACCTAACTTGGACATGTGTGCCATTGGTCCACTCAACTACCACTAACCCACCCACCAACGCACCCACCACTAACCCCCACCTCTCTCCCCATCCGACCTGAGCGCTCAGGCTCCGCGACTGCAACGGCCGGCCGCTGCCCACGTCCCACAAACGCACAGTCCGATCCAGGCCTCAGCACACCCCGCCGCGGGTTCCGCCCGCCCACCATCCGGGCGGGTAGCCGGCTTCGTTTTGGGGCTGTCGTGTTGGTGTCGTTTTGGTGTTGTTTTGCTTGGTTTGGTATACACAAAATGTGTTTGTTGTTGGGTGTTTGGTCTGTTAAGATCTGTTAAGTTTGTTTGTAATGTTTCTGTTGGTTTCCTTTGCTGTTGCCTCCTGGTTGTCTGTTGGGTTTCCCGTGGATGATCCCATCTGAGATGGTAGACCGGAACTGCCTAGGCCGCCTGGAAACGGTGGGTGAAGCCGAGACCCAAACGAAGCCCCAGCGGTGGAACCGTTGGAAGGCGTAGGGCCCACCGTTGGGAAGGCGTGGGCCCTGGTTGGCACAAAGAACCATGAAGAACCATGGTCTTTACGAAGGGTTTTACACGACAAAACCAGATCAACCAGTGGGCCAAGCAGGTGATTCCCCGATCGGAGCATCCTTGAATGAGTGCGTCTCGGAAAAGGCCCGTTCTGAAGGCAGAAAGGGCGACACCTGGTCGAGATTGGCAGGGAACTCGGCAGACTCCCCCAGGCAACGACCCCCCTGGAAGGTTCGGAGAATAGCCCAATCTACCCCTTGAGAACTAGGCATGTCTCCTGTATTAAACATACCTACTGTTGTCGTTCCCCCATGTTCAACCCCACCTTCGCACCCACCCTCCAAAGGGGCTCCCACCTGGTCAACGGCCCAAGGGGCTCCCAGAGGCCACGACCTGGTGCAAAGCACTGCTGCCGCCCAACAACGCCAGCGCGGTCACCGCCAGCGAATGACCTGCCGACCCCGGCGGAGGGCTGAAAGGGTGTCGGGTCCCTGACCCCGTGGAGTTACGAAGCCCGCAGACTCCGCCGAAGTCGAACGGGTGGCAGGAGGTTAGTCCGGACCCCTGTGTTGCGGTGGAGGTTAGTCCGGACCTGCCATGGAAGACTGTAAGACAATTCCAGGAAAGGAGGCTATTGGAAAAAAATGCATGGCAGGGCTCTACAGGGTACTTGTGAGTTCAAAGTCGCTTGTTGTTGGGAACGTTTTTGTTCCAGGGTCTTCTCGTGCAAAGGAAGATGGGCCGTCAAGTCGGTCTTCAACTGCCGGCGGCCGCTGGATTCATCTGGGTGATTTCTGCACCATACGAGCCACTTCTCTTGCCCTCTCTTTCAGCAACATGGGTAGACCCAGAAATACCGTTCGTTTACAGAGCCGAGTACTGTAAGTTAAATGTCAAGCATACCTCTGGACCATCCAATGGGTGTCCAATGGATATCTAAGTAGTGTAAGGTAATCCATTAAACACCCAGACAGGATGACCCTGGTGCTACCTGTGAGGGGGGGGGAAGATACGCCCACGCCAAACCCATCATGACCATCTTCATCCAGGCAGAGATCGGTTCCGCTCGGTCCCCCTCATCCCGCAGCCTGACCAGCTATGAAAAGGCTTCGGCGCACCCGATGTGTCCTCGCAAGATGCGCGCGGAGGACGCAAAGGGCATTCAAAGCACTCTGAGTGTCCCATGAACTTCCTGAAAAGGATCCGAGACCATGGAAGAAATAGAGATACTGAGATAATCTTGTAGTTGTAGCACACAAAGTGGTTCCTTTAATCCATATGAAAGAAAAGTAAAAACGGTAACTATACCAAGACTCAATGATCAAGAATGGTTTCTCTTCTTCCAGCCTTCCCCACTCCACTGTAGGCACCGAGGAACCTCAAAGACATCCGCCAAGTTATAGACGTGCACCGCCGAGTCTTTCGATGCAGAGACCAGATAGCCGCCATCCGGAGAGACCAAGAGCTGCGTCACCTGCGACGCTGTGATTCGGGTGGGAAGCCGTGGTGGTTGAAACAAGACTGGGGGGCCGGGCTTTCACCATGGCTGTTGCAGACTGGCCGTTATGTAGATATTTGGAGGTCGTTTCTGTAGGAACTGAACTTGATAACGACCTCCAAAAACACAGAGGCTCGATATTTCTTTGGAGGTCAGTTATTTCTACAGCGTTAATGCAAAATACATCGAACTTGTGCTCCTCCGAGCTCTGTTCGTTCAGTGTCTGTGGCCTCCTTGTGCGCCAAGCGACGCTCCATGAGTGAAAACCGCCCGGCCAAACGGTTAGAACTCTTCAAAGCCATGTTTTCGAAGAGCGAGTTAGGTAAACAGAAGCCCTGAAAAGCCCTGAAAAGCCCTGGAATGGCCACCATGGCCGGTGTTCAGTTCAAAAATGTTCAAACTCAGAGAGAACCTGCTGCACCTCCCCGTCCATCGCCATAATCCGCGCCTCCCGGAAATGTGCAGGCCAGTAACGCAGCAATGCACCTGTGCTGCTCAGCCAACAATAGATGCTGCCCGTCTGAGCGCCCGCGAAGCACAGGGACGAATCCTGCGGTGCTTCTTCGGTCCTTCGGAGTCCAACTTGAGGTGCTCAAGGCGATCGATGCCCCTACAGGTCAGGAACGGACCTCATGAAATACTAGAGCTGGTCATACCAAAAACACGACTCAAGGCGGTGGAGCTGGGACTTGGGACGGGATCGAAACTGCCACGTCCAAATCAGATGGACGGATAGAGCCGGTGATCATGGAACTGCTGGAGAAAAATACATCTTGGGCACTCGAATCAAATCCTGGTACAGATCCACCATTCTGGTAGACTTGCTCTGGAGGTTTGCCAACTCTCCAGTTGGAATGACAAGAGAAGCATGGATTTGAAGGAAATGCGTGACGGGACTTGCAAAAGTTCTTGTAAGTTCTTGATATTGAATGTGTTGCTGGAAAAAGAAATATTGGGTGCTAGCGGATAAATGTCTACCCTGAGCATCCCCAGTTGACCGTGAGAGTTCTTTGGCGATGTCTCTGTAGACTTCTGAGATGCGCTGGTTTGAGGAATACATGGATGGGTGGGTGCTTGACCAAACTCTGCTGAAACCCTTACTAAGCGGGCAAAATGTGCCCCTGAAAGTCCAAGGTCCTGGTGTTGTAAAATCCGTGAAGTAATGGTTGTTCGATGCTGTTCGGAAAAAACCAATAAAAGAAGGGTGGTTGGAAAGCAAAGAAAGCCAACGGGCTGCTAACAACCCTTGTTCACAGGGGTTTGTCACTCGAGACTCGGCCCCGGGGCCACAAAGATGATGGGAGAAGGGAAGGTCAACCCCACGAGTCAGTGGGGCGGAGGCCATCGGCGGCTTGATGAGTGCCTGCCCTCTGATGGTTTTGGTGCCTGCCCTGCACGTGGATTTCGACACGAAAAAGGGAGGAGAGATGGAGAGATGCCTGGACCAGGGCCTGATTTGGGGAGCGACGCCGTAGGGCACGACCCATCCCCTCATCACGCCCCAGGTACCGGGCTGAAGACCATGGCCGTGATCTTCTCCTTATGCGCCGAGCTCTTCGCGTTGCTTTCACCGGCCGAATCGCGCGACCGGTGGACGTGCTTCGTTCTTGATGTGCCAAAAGGTTCGGGTGTGAACAGGTAGGAAGATTAGGAATTGGAGTTCTTTTTGAAAGGCAATCAATTACGACCCCAAGGACCTTCCAATCACTTCATGTCCCTGCAAGTCCAGTTCGACTCTATCTTCCGCATACGAGAGATCTTTTCGGATCATCATCCGTCAGACCATTCTGAATGGTCAGTCCTTGGATCTCCTAAAGACAGGGACGTCTCCCTGAACTGGTCTCCCAAAAACCGGTCTCGGTCTCGAAAACCACGGCGTGTCCACCCCTTCAGCGGTGTCCACCCGAAGATCCATCCGTTTTCTTTGGTCTGACCAACCCACGGGTTTGTACCAGGTGAAGACGTGCCAAGAGGTCTTTCATCAATAATATCCCTAGCCTTCCAAGGTCATAAGAAAGTTTGACCTGGTGCTGTTGTAGTCTTAAAAAATAGTAAACTATGATAAGTTATGGTCGTTCGTCGGAAAGGAATCTTAAATCAATGGTGGGCCAGGAAGGCTAGGGGCGGCTTCCGCTCCCTTTTTGACCACGGCAGAAAACCCCGAAACCGCGCTCTCTCCTTCTGCTCGAACGGCATGAGCGGTCTCTTTTGGAACGAAAAGACCATGTAGGTATATATGCCGGTGTGTCCAATTGAGACACCCTTTCTCGCCCCCAGGTAGGCTGGGGCAGAGGGGTCTATGGTCCTTCGGGGTCGGAACGCTTCGGGGGGGGGTCGGTCTTCCAATGAGTATGAGATCAGTATGAGCTACACCTCCGACCCCCGATCGACGAAAAGCACCGATCGATGCCTATCGAGCCGATGGTCGGTGAACGGTGTGGTTCTCCAAACCCGCACCGATCGATGCAGAGTGAGGCCGGAAGTGGAGGCGGAGAATCCCTCGTCTCTTCCGGGGTTGGACGAAAAGGATCACCAAAAACACCTCCCAAAAAACGGCAGGAGACTCCCATGGTTCGCGTCCCAAACGGAGAATCCCATTCGTTCGGTCGAACGAGGTCGAACCACGGTGATGCACCGGACGTTGGTCTCACTGAAGCCACTCCCTACCCTACGCACCCAAACCCTATTCAATGTGTAGGGTCGATGTAAAGACCTAGGGTTTCTGAAGGAAACCCCAGGTTGTCCAAACCAGTACTAAAATATGGGTTTCGTACGGGTATGTACGGGTTAAATATGGGTTTAGTACGGGTTAAGTATGGGTTTAGCACGGTTTAGAAAAACAAGACCCGAGATGTTAGGAACAAACCTGAGGTATGTTTGATTTCACAAGAATACCCGAGGTTCCGATTTTCGACCCCACACATTGATAGGGTTTGCTTGCGTATATATACGGTACATCCAGTCTAACCCATGGGTCCAGGTCTCGAAGACTGACGTACACCGTGCGTAGCGAGTCCAGCCCTTTGGTATGACCGCCTACGCCCGGCTTTCTGCGGCCCCGAGGCCGGGAGGGAGGCGCGGTAGCTGCTGCGCTTGGAGTTCCAGTCCCAGACTTGCCAAAGCGCCTTGGTGGCCTCACAGATCATGAAAGATACCTCCTATAGACGTCTGACCCCTGGTTTTGCTAGGAAGAAGTGGGCTGATTGGTAATAAAATCAAGGTCACTCAGGTTCGAGGCTTCCAAATGCGTTCCCATCGAATTCATGTTTAAAGAAAAGAAGAACCTCCCACAACGACGACCCGGGGGAGATCGGTTTCAAGCTCCGCTCTGCCCCAACTGGGGTGGAAGTTCGTGGTTTGTTTCAGACTGTCAGGCCCTGTGAAGCCATGAGATGCATGAAATCCGGCTCCTACCAAAGCAGAGAGGGTGATCTGGGCAGTGCCAGGACGGTGGACAATGAACACACAACAAGCAGGAAGCTTCATCGGCACCATCGTGGATCTCTCACGACTCTGGGGCCTCACGTCAGTTTTTGGTCGTCACCCTCCGGTCGATAGATAGGGAAACACCCAAGATGTGCGTTCCCAAAAAAAAGAAAGGTGTCTATTGGATTTGGTGGAACATCTTTTGGTCGCCATGTCTATTTTTGGTAGGATTGGTTCACATTCTATCCACTCCACGCTTGCTTCATATTCTCCAATCTTCCTACATCCCATCCCTGAGATCCTGCACAGCATAGAGGTGCTCCCCACCGGCATCCACCGCGCCGAAGGCCTTGCGCCGTGTTTCTTCAGCTTGAGAACTCGCCGGTGGCGGCAACTCCGACCCGGGAGCCCCGAGCTCTCAGAAGCGAGCAGAAGATCAATCCAGTTTGGATCTCCTGATGTATTGATCTTCTGAAATGGAAATGAAAATCAATTCGGAAACATCAGGAATGATATATGAATTGATGTCATGGAAATCAATTCGGAATTATATATAATTTTGTTTGGCAAGCCTCAGTCGCTCCCTGAGCACCAGCAAGCATCAGGCCCCAAGAGTGTGATGAAGGGTCGCCTTGTGTGTGGCCTTCTGAATTCCAGGAATGTCTGGCTTTGGCAGGTGGGGTAGTTTGGCAGTACTTTTCCAGCTTAGTATACAGTAACCTTTCAGCTATATCAAATACCTTTATATCAAATACCTTGTGACTGGGAATGTCATCCACCGCCTGGTGATGGCAAAAAACCGTCGAAAAAGAGAATCGACTCTGTAAGCGACGCGACTCGACCGCTTCGTTGAATCAGCTCTGGTGTCGACATCCATCAACTCAGCGCATGAGCTGTGCTATCTATATACTGTGAGTGAAGATGGCCCTCTACCAGGTGCTCTACAAACCATCAAAAACCGGCTTTTCCCTAGCAAGAAAACATGTTTTTGTTTGTGAAAACCTTTCTTGTTCATGGTTTTGAGGGCCACTGGTAGTCTGCACTGCTGAACCTGTTGACAGTGCACTATGCATGGCACCATGACGGGGTTTCCCAGTGATTTTTTTGGAAAATGCAAAGACCTCAGCACTGCAGCTTCTCGAGGTGCCTGCGGTTGTATGGCGCCACCCTCGTCGTAGCTGCACACCAGCGCGCCAGACCTGCACATAAGTGGAAAAGCTGGCTAAAGAGCTAAGACATGTCCAGGAAAGGGCTATCCAGGCTTGGATCCAAACCACTCCAACTGATGAGCAAATGATAAAACAAAAAAAATCCAGAAAGCACCATCAAACGACCATTAAGCACATCGAGTCAAGCACCACCCAAATCAAGGAAAGAAAAACAGATCCAGTGTGCGAAATGTTCTCTCCCTTCGCAACTTATTTGTTCACAAAGGCTCAAGTTGGCTCTCGCAACTGCCTGTTTCAATGAACCGAGTAACTTACCGCCCGTCAGGCTGGATATGTGCCATCAAACCTATGGGCAGTGACTCCTTTCCAGCCGAACAAGATCTAGAAGAAGTAGAAACTCCCTAAGCCTTCCTGGCCCACGAGCTGATTTAAGAGTCTGAATCCTGAACAACTAATTGTTTTTACGATGGATTTTAGACGACAACACCAGGTCAAACCTTCTTGAAATATATATATATATATATAATCATCTTGGAAGGCCAAGGGAACTGATGATGGATGGTGTGGGGACATCTTACTGTCACCAATCCATTCGTCACCCCTCTCAGATGGATGGTGCTGCCAGGGTGGGGAGTCTTTTCCTCAGGCAAGATACCCGTAGTTCAGTCGTCCTCCCACAGCTTGCTGATTGGCTGTGGGGACAGCGAAGCCCTGGTCTTCCATGTGTTGCGAAGAGTTCTCTTCCAGAACAGTCGGGGTCTAGAAGACAGCAGAATATTGGGGTGGGAATGCTAGCTTTGATGGATTATGTAATTCTTTTTGATTTGTCCAAAAGTAGACATGACGTACTCATGTATACAGATGTATATAGTATACACACAGAACTTTAAGAAAACATGTTGCTATTTAATGCAATCATGCTCTTGAACATACAATCCTGCTACGTATTGCTCTGGCTTTTGATACCTAGTATCTAAACAACTGGCCCACTGGTCGAAAGCCTGGTCCATCGTCCAACCGATGGTCACCAGGGAATACCAGATCGAACGGAGGCTCCCAGGGTCGTCGGTTCGAGAGGAGGTACCGCGCAGTCGGATGACTTGCAACTGGCGTTCGGCGTTCGCTACCAGAAACCTTCGTGTCGCTTCCCCACAACATCCGAAGTTGGGAACGAACCGTGGAGTCGTTTCAATCCGAAGTGTTCAACAGGTGGTTTTCTAAACGAAACCATTGCGGATGTGTTCAGGGAATTGCGGAATGCGAACATCCTGGGTGCTGCAGCTTTTGGTTGATGGGTTGCCGGACACCAGGCTCCACACGGATTCCAGGCGGTGCGGCTCGCAGTTCCGTGGCTCTCCGTGGTGTTCAACACCACCGGTGCTCACGTGACGTTCTTGGACCATCCACACGGCTCCGAAAAATGCGGGGGATTTCGTTGGACCAGTTCTTCGACGTGGAAGCACGTCGTCCCCTCTATCCAATAAAGGAAGCGATGAAAGGAACGATCGTTCGACTCCGACTCTTCGGTTCGGTTCCTTCGGCCTCAGGTCGCTCGCCAACAAACCATCCCCATGCGCGGCCAGCACCACTTCCATCGCGCCCGGACCGGTGCGCGCGGTGCGTGTCGTTCACAGTGGAGACGGCTGGGCGGTTCCGCCGCGGGGGGGTCTTGAACTCAGTGCTTGGACTGGCGCCAGCGAGTCGGTATCAGATAGAGTGTCTCTCTGGGTCGGTCGGTTTAAACAGGGAATTGGTCTTGACCTGACAGAGGTCTCGTCCTTTCCTTCACTGAGCAGGGAATGGATCTCGAATTCGACCAGGGAATGGATTTCTGGGAAGTATTGGGGACAAAGATAGTCAAATGCTGCAGAGAGAGTCTGTGCTTTGGGTGATGGAACTTTCAAGAGGTCGGCCAGGCCGGTCAGCCATGGGAAATCCCTCCACACCCAGCTGGATAGGAGTTGTTCCAAAGAAACCGTCGAGCCTGGTGTTGTTTCTCACCACAAGCTACTTCAAAGGCCCTTGCACCTGCGGGCTCACAAGAGTCCGAACCACCTTAACATGCTCTTGTTCTAGCGGTGTCCCATATCGCGATGATCAAAATGAGTTGTCCCTCGCCAGAATATGGATACTTGGATGATACTTGAGTGAGTTGTCGAGATTTCGTGACTGTCCACATGTTCCGACAAAAAGAAGCACTCACAATCCTTTGTTGTATGATGTTGTATGTGTCAGACGGTTTTTCAATTTCAACCGGTGAAAGGAACGACGAACAAACTGATTGGGGGTTCTCCATGGGTTCTGCAGGTGTCTCTATCTTCCAATCCACACTCTCTTCTTTGAGCCGGACTGATTTCGGCTGCGCGACCCAAGACAGCTTCTGAACCAAAGGAGGCGCAAGATTGGGCAGTCCCAACTCAACTTCGGGCAGGTCAGCTGATGAAATCCTAGAGTTGCAAATCTTGCCGAGCATTTGCTGGATCTTCCGTTCCTTGACCAAACTTGATCCCCCTGATTATATAAACCTTGGTCACAAACATAGGCCTATCTTACATACAGAGCTATCCCGACTCTACAGGTCTCCGAGTTCTGGTGGCGTTCAATGCAGACTTCAAAGTCGCAGGTGGTGACCTGGCAGCTCGACCGGGTGACTCGGGGTGACGTCACCGCCGAACGACCATCCGTCACCACCGTGTTCGGTCCGGTCGGTCCGGTCGGGTCCGGTTTTTGGCGGTCGGAGCGAGGATCCGAGGATCTTCACGGACTGCGTTACGCCAAGCATGGAAGCGAACTGGTGAAGGTGTTGGAAGGTGTTGGAAGCTTTGGAAACAATGCGTTTCCAACAATGAACAAAAAGAAAGGTGTGGGAAGCTTTGGTGAAGGCTCCCAAAAGCGTCAAGTGCTCTCTTTCTTGGGATCGGAGTTGAAGATGGACTGCATTGGGGCATGGACCGGGAGACTGCATGATACTGCATCAGTGTATGGTTCCGGTTTTATGCCAAGATTGGCAGTGCGGGTTGCAATTGACCTGGGAGACCAGTTGTCAGCTTGTGCATTGTCTTCCTGGTATATGGGTGACCCAAGATTGGCCAAGAAGCTTGCAATGGCGGCGCCATGTTGGAGGGATACTTGAAGTCTTCGAACTCCCATGGCATCTTGTAGCCTCCCACAGTGCATCCCATCGCCACACATGCCACGGTGTTGGGGACAAGTTGACATGTCGGAGGACTGGTTGATACCACTGATTGTGGTAATAATAACCATAGTACCTCGTCCAACTAATTGTGGTTATACCATACTAATTGGGCTGGAGCCAGTTTTTGGGGGACTAGGTTGGTACCACTGGCACTTCGTCCTGAAGTATACAAGAGGACTGATTAGTGCAGGGGCAAGTTTATCAGTCTCGTAAAATGGATCATGTCGTTGGGAGGACACCAGGGGTGTCCAAGCTATTCTCTGGTTGCAAGGAAAACCGAGCAGCTCGTAGATCAGCGAAACCCAAAGATTGGATCTCAAGCTGCCGCCGGAACAACCATGTGTTTCTGGTTGTTTGCGATTTCCGGGCATCTAAGTTTGTAAGTAGTGAAGTTCCAACAAGTCTGTGTGTTCTTGGATCACATCGCCCGTCTCCCTTCCAAGGTCCTTGCCTGAGAGGTCTCCCTATGAAGGAGCTCACGTCTCCACACGTTTTGATGGTCCCCAAATCTTCGCACAGGCGTACCCGGGGCACAAGAGATCACTCTCTTCGTTGGAATGGTGAAGTCTTTTTCTGAAACATTGACGAGCGCAGGAAGGAAGAAAGGCTGCACCACCTCGAAGAAGAACTAAACCTCGTCTCTACTCTGAAACCAAAAGGCCGATGGAGTTTTTGCCCACCTATGGTCCGCCCACGAAAACAAAGACCCTTTCAGTCACCTTCATAGGTTGATTGCGAATCCCAAATGCTCAAAATCAAGCGCGATTCCCACAAAGGACACTGGTCTCGGGCTACGACATCACTCCATCCGGTATCCGCCTGGGATGTGCAAATTCCCAGTGGCATAGCCCGCCACCGCTGCAACCACCTGGAGGGAGATCAAAGCAGCACCGGACTCCCAAAGTTCGGGGCCAGTGCGCGACCAATTCGATCCGGAAGTCATGTTGCTGACCTCCGGAAGTCATCCTCAGGCCTCTGGGGCGGTGACCACATCGATTGGTTTTCGTTCGACTCAGATTAGGTACGGAGTATATGGATATATGTGTTATAGATATACCCTAGCCTTCAGTCAGCACCGTCCGGAAACCGAACGGGCCCTCCTTGGCAGGGGTCGGACTAACCTCCACCCAAACGCAGGGGGGGTTGAGGGTCACCAAACCCTATGTGTGGGTGAAGGGGCCCGGAGTCGACTTGGGGCACCTCCCAACCAAAAGCGAACTGCCCACCAAACACCCACAGCCCTTGGGCTTTCAGAGAAGCCTTCAAGGGGTCCCTGGGCCCTCCGTCCACCGTCCTGGGCCGCCGTGCCAAGGAGCCCTTGCCGGTGCTCTCGCCGTCGCGAATGCGGCCGCCGGCACCGGTCTCAGCGCCTGAAAGAGGTGATACCTACCCCGCTGAAAACTCACTAACATGCCCAGACACTCCATGGGACTGCTATATATGCCGATCAGGCCAGGGGTGGTTTGGGGGTCAATGGGGCGGCATATATAGCATACATGGAGTGTCTGGGATGGAACCTGAAAACCAGTTTGTAGAGGAAAACAGTCAGACTCAGGGCGCCAGGAACGACCCGGGTCCAGATCCAACTGTGCCAAAGGTCCGAACTCGGCTGGTGAAATTGATGAGAAGGCAGAAAACACCGGCACCTGTTTGGGAAGATCTAGGTATACCCAAGGTTTACCAGGATGGTTGTTATCACCTGTTCAAAGGTCCTGGTATATTTACACCCTAGGCTTACAACAATCATTGATTGAATGGTCTGAATCCCGAACAAGCATTGTCTTGTTAAAGGAATTTACATGAGTTTACCCTACAACAACAGGTCTTGGAAGGCTAGGACACAGTTATCCTGGCAACAAGTGGCTGGGACTGGTGAAACATCCATTTGAAACCTAGGACCAACCAGAAACAGTTCTGGATGGAACTCCCCAGTCCCAGCGTCCCAGCCACTTGTAAAGCATCTATGGCGCTGGCGCCAGAACTTGGAACAGCCATATTTCCGCAGTCCCATCTACCAGGACCTTCCAACAGGTGACAATGATGACACCAACACCGTTTTCGGACGATGAGGACATCCTCCATGGGGCCGGCGTTTGGAAGAATCGGTTGGATTACTCGGGAGGTGTATTTACAACCATCCTGGAGCAGATAGAATATGAACCAATCCAAGAACATGGTCACTTTCCCATGGGCTTCTTGATATCCCCATGCTCTATCTACTCCAGGATAATGATAAGTGTACCACCAGGATATACCAGGACTTTCCAAGGTCCGCTGCTTTTAGAACCCGACCGAGTCCGGTGGTGTTCGGGGCGGATCTGGGAAGCACCGGATCTTGGAGGGGTCCAGGTAGAAGTCGGTACAGGCGTCCCAAAGCTGGATGGCCTGGATGGCTAAACAGTTCCATCACCTGGGCTGGATGAGCCCCTACAGTTCCAGTCTGACCTGTCGGTCCAAACCTGGTCGACATGACCTCCTTGAGTCGTGTTTTTTCTATGACCGACTCCACTAAAACCATCTCCTCTCTATGGCTTGTTGGGGCGGGTGGTTGGGGTGGGGGCTGTCCCACCTTCTTTGAGGATGTGGGCTGAGCCCGACCAGGAGTAGCAACAGCAGTGTCACTTTAAGACATACCCAGACGCAAGAATCTGCACCCCACAGATTACGGCCCCAAAACCCCACACCCCACGTCTTCGTGGAGGAAAATCGTCTTCCTTTCTGCTTTTTGGAAGCAACTGGCAAAAGCATGTCTCAAGGATAGCCTCATTGGACAGTCAATCCTTGATCCACATGAGAATTCCCATCCATTTCAAGCCACGCCCCAGCAGGTCCAATGCTACGCTGCTACAAGCCTCGAATCCCCCCCTCCCACCCTTTAGACCCAAACCACCAGCCCCCTTCTTCCTTTGTCCATTCCTCCCCCTCCGCCGCCGCTGGACCAGCGGTGACTGCTGGCCTGGAAAGGGCGCGATGCCGCAGGGGAAGTTGTGGGTCTCCACCGTTAAGGTGATGTCATAGTCCCTGGCCACCTGGCCACGTGGTCGCGGCCAGCAGTGGGCCGAACCGCGGTCGCGCGGAAGAGGGTCCCCAACCCGCGCAGGTCCGAGATGGAACAAGTCATTGCGGGGGGGGGGTGAAGATGGCTGACTTGCGTGCGTTGCGGTCGCCAACGGCGCAAGTGTTGAACCGGATGCCTTCCATCGCATTGCTACGGCCACAAGGAGACCATGTTTGGTCATGCGAAAAGCGCCCCACTGGGTGGGCAACCTTTTCTCCGGTTTGCGCTCGTGAATCACCTGCCACTTCTCAAGTGCACTCCCTTGCTCCAAGTACGAACCTGGTTCAAGAACCACTTCCCAGCTTCTCCAAAGTCACCTTCCTGGAATCTCTATATAGGTGACCTTTTACAGGCCTGTTTGATTACCTCGCCAACCAGGGGATCAAGTTTGGTCACAAACTGAAGAATCTCTTTCACTTCCATTCTTCATGAACCAACTGACCGGTTGTTCATGTCCTAACCACTCGACCGATCCTTTTTGCTGCAGCTGAGGAGGGACGGAAGTCCTTCACCATGTTCAGATTGCTACATTTCGCCCTCCCACTTGGTCACATAAAATGCTGAGGCCTCTTTTAGACAGGCAACGGGGGAATGGGAATCAATCGCTGTTTGGGCAAAAAGCAGCTTTTGATTCCGAGGCCATGAGATCTCATCCATGAAAATGTTGTTTGGATAGAGGATCTCTCCAAGCATACCTGAATGCCGCAGAACATGCATCTGCCATCGTTCCGCCCAACCAGTGAGAGGACGCACCACACTTTTGAGAGACGACCCAACCTCCAACCCACCGCCCTGGCATGGTCAGTGCTTTACACTACACCTCCCACCGAACCCACCTCCTGGAAGGCTCCCGGCTGAGCAACGGAGCCACTGGGCATGAAGTTCGTGTGGGAATAGCCTGGATGGACGATGGTTTTCACGTTTGGATGGTATCCGTTTCTTGAACGACCTGGATGGCCTGTGATGGCTTGCCCCGACCGTTCTCGCGCGCCTCGCAGGGCGCTGCTGTTGTCGTGGAAGCCGATGACGCTGTTACCTCCCCACGTCACAGCTCGGTCGACAACAGGTCTCGACCCGATGCCTCCAACAGGTCTCTGAGTTTTGGTGGCTGAAATGCAGACTTCAATGTCCCAGGTGGTGACCTGGCAGTGATGCTGGTAGCTGCTTCCATCCTCCTGACCTCTGGACAGGCCTGCCAAGTCCGACTCCAAACAGTCTGGCTATCGAGGTCTAACCAGACACATGTCTGTCAGACACCCATCCGAAAAGACTGCCGTAAGAACCCCATCCGAGTGTTACCACACTGTTTGGTGAAATAGAAAAAAACAAAACTCGAATCATGTCCATGCTCCGACTGGGCCCCCAGGCTGATTCGTTCCTTCAATGGCCGTTTCACCCACTGGAACAAGGTCAAGGGCATCTCCTCGAGATCTCGCGCGGAAGAAAGGCATCTCGAGAGGTTTGTGAGCGACCTGAAAAAAGGACCCGGGGATACCTGCTTTACCCAACTGGGATAGTCAAACTAGAGTTGTTCAGCTGTGAGCACCTTCCCCCCCCAATGATCATGGAAGTGGAAAGTTTGCGCTTGGCTTTTGGGTTGGCCAAGTAAGTCATTTTCGAGATCAGCTCACCATTCACGTCGCATCTGCGCTGGTTAAGAACTGAATATGTTGATGATCTGGGTTCGCACGGCTGGTCTTATGTCACCACTGACTGACTATCATGCGCCACGGGCTGCACTGACCATACCTGGGCCAGTTAGCCGACGCAATAGTGCTCAGTGGCACTCCATAGACATCTGCAGAGAAGCAACTCCCTTCTTTAGAGTTGCAGATGTATTTTTGGCCGCTTCTTCTAAGATACCGCTTACATTTAGGCCTTAAAGTATGCTTGATGCACTAAGCCCTATACTGCGTCTAAACCTCAGAAGGGCCTGATTGTCACGGCCTTGCGTTCACCTATGCCGTTCACCTATGCCGTCTCCAGCTGAAAAGATGAAAACACACAGAACAATCATAATAACAATAGACGCGTGGACGTTGACCGTGGTGAAAGCAAATACCTCGCAACTCTTTATGTTGGAAGAAAAGACAGGTGATGATGACTAGAGGTTCTGCACTTTGCACCTTGCTCTTTCGCCTGAAAAGATCCAATGTCATCGAAACATGCGCCAACTCCAACACTCCCCACAAGCAGCGTGAAATTACCACCCCCCCCACCCCCACCAACCCAAAAACCAGATCAACAAGCCGAACCTCCTTTCAGACCGATCCGAATCCAAGCCTTTTTGCGGGTCTGGTCGGTCCCCGGGTCCCGGGGTGTCGGGGTCGCGTCCTCCTCGTCGATGACCACCTTGCCGCCGAAGAACCAATGCCGGGAATGCTCCGAATTCCCCTGCGGCCAGACGTCGCGCGGGGTCTCGGTCCCGGTGGTCGGGTAGGCCCGCTCCAGGGCGGCTCCAGGTGCGAGATCCTCGTTGACCTTTCACCAACCGTCGCAGATCCAATACAAGTGGAGCAGCATGAAATATACAGAATTCTTAAACCTCAACCAGACTCAACTGTCTACGAAACCAGGGAACTAAGATCATGGAAAGTGCAATGGACGTCGCAGCTGGAACAACCATCACCCACCACACAGCTGGAACAACCGTGGCTACAATTGAAAATACAAAACTGTACCCAAACAAGTTGTGTGCAACCGCTTCGACTTGTCAGCAAAGAGGCGCGACAAAGCAGCGTCAGCTTTAAGAAAAAGGTGTGAAGCAACCTGCCAAACCGACTTGTCACCTCCTGGCATCTCAAGTCACTTGAAGGACCAGGTAACTGTGCGGAGGTGATAAATCAAGATCAGCCATCTACCCTCCCACCGGACATCTGTAAAAAACCGTTGGACCCGCACACCCAAGCGCTGCGCAGGCGCAGGCGACCCCCAAAGAAGGCGGGTCGCGAGGTCGAGTCGAACCTTTGCCTGTGCGAGGTCAAAACACTCCACCGTGGTGGGGTCGCGCTTCAGCTCGTCGCGGAAGACCCGCAGGTAGTAGGCGATGTCCTGGGACGAAGAGGGCCGTGCGGTGGCCGCCGCTCGTCGCGTGTGGCCCTTCGGTGGTACTCGTACAGACACCACTTCGTGAAGCATGAGTTGCCGCGCGGGGATGAGTTGCCCGGCTGAGTCGCCCGGTCTCGTTGCCCGTCGACCCGCTAGTGACCAGCGCAGGTGACGGGAGATGAGACTCGGGTCGACTCGGAGAGGTCGAAGGGGTCGAAGCTGGTGGGTCTGACGAGTCCGGTGATCCGGCGATCGACGTCGGGGCAACGGTCCGAGAAGATCGACGTCGAACGGGCAAACGGGCAACGGCCAAAAGGAGCATGGCATAAGCAACGTCAGAAGGATGGAGACCTCCAAGATGACTTTTCTCACACACTCTGGTGTTCCGCTGGTGGGTCCCCCGAAAAAGCCGTTCTCACAAATCCATCGAACTCACTCCTCAAACGCTCCTCACGTGCTCATGCTCGAAGACCGCAACACGGTGAAGCACCAGGAAAAAAACCTGCCCTGAACGCTGTCCATCCCGATCCCGTCGTTACGTCCTGCTCATCATAGCCCAGGCCCTTCTCTTTACTGAGATCCTGCCGTCGCAGGATCAGGGCCGTGCGACGAAAAGAAGGACGAAACCCAGACAAGACACTCCCGACGATGGCAACAACCCAGCTCCCGACGACAGCAACGTCACACCAGCTCAGCTTTGACCAAACGCATCCAATGGACGATGGTGGGAACATGTCTCTTGTGGGGATTGAGTATCTCAGTAGGAAGTTTAGTCACTAGGAGACGCTACTAGGAGCAAAGGGCAATTGCTACTAGGAATAAGGACGCTACTAGGGGCTCCTGGCCTTATTACTAGGAACGAGGACGCTACTAGGAGCTTTTTCGCCGTGAGATACTGAGGTACTAGGACTGGTCATGTCTGTGTCGGGGGGGTCATGTGGCACTCTCAGGACTCTTATTTGACTACATGATTAACTATATGATGATTGTCTTCATGTCTTCTGCCAATAGCGCGTCTTTCTTCCTTCATGTTTTCTTGCTCTTGGACATAATATGCACCCTTATAGCTCTTATTCCTATTGCTTTTAGATACTTCAGCCACCTGGGGAGTGGTGATGTAGAAAATCTGCCAGCGAGGCAAGCAAACATGCAAGTGACCCATGAGATCCAAATCTGTATGTTGAAGCCCAATCAGTCCAGTCCAGCTATATAAAGCGACAACCTCGTTGTAAGGTCAAGCGATGACAGCAAGCGATACATTGCATTCAAGATCTTTTGGTCTTACGGGCAACATCACTTGTATCCTCGTGGACGCTCCTCAAGTATTCGGTCGTCACCGTCACCGGCCCTCAAACTGAACCAGGTTCTGTTTGCCCGATCTTCCAATGATCGGCTTTGGGTGTTGCTCCGTTTCACTCGGCATTGTCCTCACGATGCCCTCATTCCAACCCAACAGCTTCTGTCTACCCTTACGATGCCGAGCCCGCCTGCCACGCCACCGATCCACCCCCGAGCGGCCCTCGGTGCCTCCAGGGCTTTGGCTCCTTGAGCCATCACTGGGACGCGAGTCCAGCCCTCCGGTTCTTGGTGCTCCTGCAGGGGGAGGACACGACCGCGTCCAGGACCCGACACGACCGGGCGAAAGAGAACGACGAGTTGCGGAAAAGGGTTGGTGGGGAAAGAAAGGGGTCTGTGATATCTGGGTTGGTTGGTTGAACCGCGGGGTTGAAAATGAAGAAATGAATGTGTGACCTCGACCGCTAAAGAAGGCCAAGAAGTCAAAGGCTGGTGAAGTGTTTCTCCATTTTCTCCCGATGAAGTGATGAAGTATTCCTGATGCGATCGAAGCAAGCTAAACAGAACAAAACCATTGAAAACAATTCTGAGAGGGTGAAACAAAAGTAGCGTCAAGCGCTCAGTAGCGAGCTTGACCTCTTGGGGACTGGTCGACCGCACCCTGCGGCCGGCCGACTTCGCCTGGCCGACTTCGCCTGGCCGCAGCCCCGTCCGTTGTGGGCACTACAAACATGGCTAAACTTGGGCATGCCACCTGCTGATCTACTCCAGTGGAGCCACCAGTAGGGAGCCACCTACTGATCTACTTACATGGCATGCATGGCATGTCCACTTGACTTCGAGCTTTCCCCACCCGCCGACAATGGCTGCATTTCTCTAGGTGACTTTGCGACTGGCGAGGCATCAACGCTTCGCCACCGGGTCTTGTGCTTGGGTTTGGTGTTGCCATTGCCGCTGTGTGTGTGTGTGTGTGTGTCAATCTTCATGCTTATCTGTCTCCTTCGGTGTTCGTGCGACTCCCGAGCCGAACCGTGGCCGAACCCACCGGGCCGAACGCCCCGGACGACCCACCGTTCTTCTTCTGACCGGAAACCCCGTGTGAGGAACGACTCACCCCCGCATCGTGCACGACCGGTTTCGTTGAACTCTCCTCAAAGGTTTGGATGCCATTGGGATACTCACACTCCTCAGATCGGTTCGGGAGGGCTGGATGCCATCGGACAGATCATATCTATCCGCTGACTCCCAGTTGCGTGGCGTGGGGCGACGCAGCTGAGGACAAAAGAGGTTGACGGTCCCTAGGATTCCGACTAGCACTCATTTCATGGTTTCTTACCCAGCAAAATGTGTTTTATAATTCTACACTACAAAACCAGGTAAACGATTCTTTTCTATATAATGGCGTTTAAAGGCTAGGGCTTTACCACTCTTGGGAAACCACAACGATTGAAACCATTATATTGGCAAGCAACAGTCTCCGAGTCCACAGCGAAGGATGATATTGGCCACAATAAACAAAATACATGAAATAGTACCAGCACCCGACTCTGCAGGTCTCCGAAATGGTGGCTGAAATGCAGACTTTAAAGTGGCAGGTGGTGACCAGTATGTTTGTCCACGGAGTCTACTCTTCTTTCTTTCTCCTGTTCCTTATGGCTCTTCTCAATCCGACTCTCTCGTGTGAAAAGGGAAGAAAGCTGAACGTGTCTGATGTTCTTGGAGTCATGAGGACAATTGCTTTCACTGGCCCTTCTATTTGCAGCTAGTTTTGAAGTCCGTAGCTAAGGACTCGAATTCCAATTGGTTTGATATCTGCATCTATGCCAGTATACCAGTCTGTCAGCCAATCCTTTGGTAAGCAAAAGACATCATGAAAGATCTGTTTCCTCATGCACAACCTTTCTTCGTTCGTGGAACTCCTGAAAAGGGAGTCGCTCGCCCGTGACCAGACCGGTGGAATTGCTTCAAAGGAAACACGCACCGTGTCCAAACGCGGGGGCCGGCTGCTCCACCAGTCCACCGCCCGCTGCAACCGTGAAACCGTGGGTTTGAAACCTGCGCAGACCTGCGTCCGCGAGTGTCGACGGACCATGAGCCTCCTTTTCTCAGGCTTGCCACCCCAGGGGCCGTCATGCGGTCATGGACCAACTTGGCGAAGGTCTTCAAGGACCCCGACGTCGTCTCCACCTGCGATGGAGCGTCGCAGGTGCTGAGGATACAACTCTTCACCTACCTGACCGACCTTTGAGAAGACGACTGCTGGATTAAACTAAGAACTTGTTCTAAGCAACACTTGGCTTGACAGTTGTAGAGGGGGAAGTGTCTTGGTGTACCCTCAGTTTCATCAGACTCTTCCTTTGGAAGGAGTTCAATCAGGTGTGCACAGGCACAGGCTTCTTGGATGTTAGTTTTCTACACACCGATATGCTGTACCCTGAACGGATTGAAGCAAGTGAGGTAGGAAACTAGACGACGAGTGGCCCGAAAACATTTTTCAACACGTATGAAGTCAGAGTGTGAGTTATGTGTTAAGTGTTCAGTGTGAAGTGTTGAGTCGAGTGAGTTGAGGCAGTGTGTGGGTCTCTGTGTGTGTGTGTGTATCTATGTCTGTGTGTGTATGAGTCCCTGTCTGTGTGTGTATCTATGTCTGTGTCTTTGTGTGTCTTTCTATGTATCTATGGTAACGCCCTCACCAGCGGCCAAGCAGTGACAGCTCCGCTCAAGGTCGCGAGCACTCGAGCTGCTGGTAAGGGCAAGTGGTGAAGTTCTTCACTGTAGATATAGCATCTTGAGAGCATTTGAGCTGCTGGTAAAGGGAAATAGTAAAGCACATAGCTCTTCTGTCTGGGAGCCCGACCCTCGCTGAGACGTTACATCCACCTCAGAGTGTCCATTCCTTGAGAAGCAGCGTTCACGCCTCCAGGAAATCTCACCGAACAAACCGAGCTGGAATGAAAATAGAAAATTGCTGAGGCAGCTACGCAACAAGTTTGTCGAAGCAGTGACCTGTCAGAGGAGATGCGTCCATCGATGTACGATCACAGGTAACGTTTCCTTCACCCTAGGACACAGCTTCTCTAGGATGTACTACCAGCTCCCCAGATACTCCGCGTACTACAGTTGTACTACCAAGTCGCCCGTTCTCATCTTAAACCCTAAACTGCGGAGAATAAAACTGCTTCCAGATGTAAGCTTCAACCAATAATCTTCTCCCAAATTTCAGTTGAATAAAGCTTGATGAAACGCACCGATCGATGGCGAGCGGGGGCGAGGAACTCGAGCGGTGAAAAAGGTCTTTTATATATGTTTGTATTTCTTGAGCCAAATATTCATTTGTCCAATGAATTAGAGCAAATCGAGTTTCTCGATCACAAAAGCTCAACGATCATGCAAAACTTCGTTGTGGCTTCTATTTCGTATGTACCTTCTCTATAGGTACCATATGAACATTCCAAGAAACAAACCTGCACTTCACATCTCAGCGTGGTCACTGCTGAAAATCTATTTTTCCGATCTCGATGAATCGAAGATTCTCTTGGAAGAAACTGCTGAAATCATATGCTCACCAAGAAGTTCACATCTCCGGTGTGATTGGTGTCAATGTGAAAAGGCCGGTCGATCCCTCATGCAGTGGCAACACACCCGATGCGATGGAAGGCGCATTGGGTAATCAGCGTCAATGAATCGCTCACATTGGCAGCTTCAATGCAAAGTAGTATTTGCGTCCACCACCAACTTGCAATCTTCGGTGATCTTCACAACACAGGCGCAACAACGAATCT